CATGTTGCTGCTGACTGTTGAAAGTAGCTAGTCCCACAATAGAGAGAACGTCCGATTGTCTAATCCGTAAAGTGTCCGGTCTCACCAGCAGCAGGATCCCTCGACTCCTAAGTGTCCGATCCCCTCAACAGCAGGGTCGATTGATTGCCTCGTCAGCAAACTGACAGATCCCGCCATCAGAGGGAATGGTTGACAGTCTGATCTGCGAGGACTGGTCTGACCAATAGCGGAAATACTAGTAATGTCCAATTGCCAGATCAATGATCCTGGCTGCTCCCGTCATACGCAGGGATACTTGGAATACTCGATTGCCCGATCAGTGTTACTGGCTGTTTGGTACCCTCTCCTTATCTCACTTAATTCTTGCGTCAGTAGTACGGCGTGCGCCAGACACACCTTCTTCTGCCCTTCTCCTCCTGCTCCACTCTGAACTTTCCCCTCCGCACATACACTCATTAATCATCTGTTTCCTGTCCCGAGTTCCAGAGACAGGCAAGGAACACTAGGCACACGCCTCCTCGCACACTCTGAATCTGTTTCCCCCCCCGTTCGACACTTTCGGGCACGAGGCACACAGGATGTGTCAGGCCTCAAGTTCTGTTTCCCTCCGTTGCTTGCCGGTCCTCGAGTCAGCGCCTCTTCTCCATGCCCAACTTTCCCAAAAGGGCTGTTCAATCTCGCATCATGACGCTAGAGTGGGCAGGGTACACCGGGCACGCGCCGAATCTTCCACACTTCGTCTGCATGCGCGCCTTTGCCATCCCCCACTCAGCGAGCATGCTCTGGGTATGATCTTCCCGGCCAGCTGCTCTCCGAACGGCATGTCCAGATCACGCTCAATGTAGGCTGGGCACACCTGGCGCACTCCCTTCATTCGGGCCCTTTGCGTGAGTACACCATGGACGCCGGGCGCGCCCCCGTTCCAGCGCACGAATGTTCCCCTCTCTCGCTGACCAGTCGAACCGGTGGTGGGCTGTGTACGCCTAGCACGCTGCCAAAAAAAGCTCCCCTGTGCGCTCGGTTGGACCAGACTATATCCCGCAGTGGTGCTGGCCGTTCACAGCTCAATCTCCGCAGCGTCCTTCGGTCCATTTAAAAAATACAGGTCCGGTACTCTCGGTACYAACCTTATCAGGCCCTTCGAGCCAGGTCCAAWTTTTCCTCRCAGCAGYAGTTCMCCTGGTTGGTGCCAAGGGTGGCATAAATCTGTCCACGAGAAATCAAAGCAAGTGGTCCCAGTAATAGAGTGAGCAGCCCTGGGCCTTCGAGTCACAATGCCAGGGTCTGTTAGACCACTTCCYGAATCAACAACCGTAGCTGYGTCACCCCCGAACCAGTCACCGTACCGAAGTAGCAAGCCTGATTCACAGTGGCCCGTGCCGAGTCATAGCAGTTTTGGTCATAATACCACACCAACCAAACCAAAGGGCGTATGTGCCGTACCCGCGGTAATTTTATGACCCGCAGCAGACCCGAATCAGATCAGAACCCTCTTCAAGCAGCCCATGTGCTGTACCGACACCAACCGGCCATCATAGGTTACCGTCTCAGTGGCCATACCAGTGCTGTCCCAGTGATCGTACCGTGCCTGTTCCGATCCAGCAGCCGTACCAGACCAATGCAGAATACCGTACCGTGCCGCAAATGCACCATGCCAATACCAGACAAATGACTGTACCGTACCAGTTCTGAACCGGAGTGCCGTGCTCGTTCCAAACCAGTGTCCATGCCAAAATAATCATGGCGCTTAGTCCATCCCAGAGTAGAACCAGAAACAACACAAAACCGACCATGTCGCTGTAACCCCAAAAACCGGTCGCGCTTACTCAACAACATCCGGGACATAGTGAGGGTAATAATCAGAGCGAATTGGGCAAAATCAAGCTTCGGTTTTTAATTATCGGGAACTCGTACGAATCGAGGGATCCAGGATAAATAAATAAATTCGGGATGTAATCCATCAAGGATAAATTCCGATAAAATTTAATTAAATAACAACTATTCATTTGTTTTCTTTCCTTTTATTATTATTATTATTTTTGCTCATTTTTAATTCGGTAATTAAAATTAATGAAAATCAAGGGGTCATTTCCTCGTCAATTGGTCAATGTAAAAGAGGCGCGCCAGGGCCTAATACCATACTCCCGCTCTGCAGCCGGCCGCTTCGGAACAGCCTCGGAACGAACAAAAAGGGCAGGTGTCAGGTGTGGCTGCTGTGGCTGTTCATTTTATTAATTTCTAGGGTCAGTTCCCATGGTCGATGGAAGAGATTTTAGGGACCCTCTGGAGACCCCTAATTTTTCCCGACGGTTCCGACAAAAATACTCAAGGAACCCCACGCAAGCGCCCGGTCAAAGTCCGAACCCGTCGGTTTTCGGGTGGCCAACTGCCTGTGGCCGCCCGACACCGGGTCCAAGTCAAGCCAAAGGAAGCAGAGGCTGGGACGAGTTGAGGCTCAGTCCAAGTCAATATAAGGACTGACCAGTCACATTTCAGGAGAGATTGCTCATTCGTGAGAAGTGAGGAAGTGCTGCTGAGGCGCTTGTGCGCTATCTCCGAGTAGCATGCGCGCGAGAGCCCTGCTGGGCAGCGCTGCACTGAGAGGGAGGCGGCCATAGCCGCATAAGTTAGTAGTAGGGATAGAGCTGAGTAGCGGCGGATGTATTCAGAGTCAAGATTCTAAAGTACACACGCACAGAGAGAGAGAGAGAGAGAGAGAGAGAGAGAGAGAGAGAGAGAGAGAGAGAGAGAGAGAGAGAGAGAGAGAGAGAGCATGCAGGAGGGAGAGAGAGAGAGAGAAGACAGAGAGAAAGAAAGAGAGAGTGAGCCAGGGAGAGAAGAGAGTCACCTACCTTAGATTAAGATGCTGGTATTGGGTTGCTGAATTCTGCGCTGTTGAGCGCTTGGTGACTGGATCTCCGAAACTGTTTAATGTGATAATTTGTTGGAATTTCTAGACTGTGCATCTCTGGACTTTGCATCTCTGGACTCCAGTGTGAACTTCGTGTAATCTATCAATGTGTGTGTGTGTGTGTGCGCAAGGTGTCGAGCAGAGAGGCTCGATGCAACAGAATGGGCCACAGTGGACACTTCAGTTGTACGTGAGTCGCAGGATTGTGACTTGGTCTCATGTTTACCCTTGTTGTTGTAAATTGTAATTGCTTGAATTTGCTTCCGTTTTCCATCGTTTGCCATGAAATGTTCCTCCATTGTCCCTGTGGTGAATGAAAGAACGTGCTAGGTGGCTTTGG